TGGATGAGCGCATCGTGATTCAGCTCCAGTTTCTGTCTCGTCTCCCTCTCCCCCCGGTCCAGGCTGGCGAGAGCTGAGGCTGCCTCTACCTCCGGCTGCTGACCCGGTGGCTTGTGCTTTAGTAATTGCCGATACTTCTCAAACTCCCACACGATACTCTGCTTTCGGGTTTCCACCTGTGTCTGCACAGCCAGGATGGGAGAAAGGCACTGATATTGTTCATGCAAGGGTCACCAGGGACTGTGCACGCGCACACACACACACTCTGCCTGGCATTGTAGAGGCCAAGATGAAGGCTACTATTTTTCTTATCTTCTGTTCTCAAATGCTTCTGGGGCCCTATTACCTATCCTTACCGATTCCAGTAGGGCCCAGGATATTATCTTGGTACTATGTGCCCTAGACTGTTTCTTATTTTCAGAACAGTATATGCTATTTTCAAAATAATGACCAGAGCATTACACTTGAGCCTCTAAGGCAGTGTAACAACTACACTGGTAGATGCTTTTGCTTCTTACTGGTATTATCTCAGTTCAGTATGTTGTTTTTGACTGGTTGTGTTACCTTCTGTTGATCTAAAGTCCTGATAGTTTGGTAGTTACGGCCTCAAATTGATTTCAGAGGTGATTTTCCAGTGTATGTGAGGTGTGTATGAGGACAAATGAGGGCACTAGGCCAGAGGTTATGCCTACATCACAATCAAGAAACTGGAATGAGAAGTACATGGCCTGACTAGGGCTGCACAACCTGTGGAGGAAGCTGGTATGAGGATCCCTGGCTCTGACTTCAATCCCCACATTCTGCTTCACAGAGATGAGGAAGTCACCATGGGCCAGGTCCAGGACAACACCGGAACCACCCAAACTCCTTCCCCAGGCGGCAACCTGCCTTCCAGGTGGCAGTTCGTTTCCTCTCACCAACTTCCAGCTTCCAGGCCTCTTCTTGCTCTTTCCTCAGGTGTTCCAGAGCCTCGTGGAGTTTCCACTGAAAGAGATAAAAACCTCAGCCGGGTTGATAGTGAGGCTTGTTAGGTAATGGGGAACCAAGTGTCCCTCAGGTGATGAGCCAGAAGGAATGCTGGGAGCAAAGGGATGCCAAAGAGGGAATGGAATCCTGCCCACATGACATCCAAGGAAGCTCTCGTTCTGAGAATAATTTCAACTCCTACAATCCTCTAAGTTTCTGCGGAGTGACAGAAAACGTCTGTTTCCAAGCTTGCCAGAAGACCTTCTTGGACTTCCTATCCATGCCTCTTTGTACTTATCTTCCACATTACCCTCTGGTCTCCTAAAACCTTCCTATTCAAAGTGTGGTCCAAGTGGGCCGACAGCATCAGCACCACCTGGAAGCTTGTTAGAAATGCAGAGTCTCGAGCCCCACCCCAGACCTCCTGGGTTAGAATCTGAATTTTAGCAAGAATTTGGGGTGGTTCAAATGCTCATTAAAGGTAAGAAGCACTATCCTAGAACACTCATACAAGAGACTACTACTGAAAAGCATAAAGTATTCTGAGGATGATATTAACCATTTTGTTAAAAAGTTACCAAGTGCCACACATACGCTTAGTACTACATATATATTCAGTACTCAACCCCTTGAGACTGGTATTATCCCCACTGTACAGATAAGAAAACTGAGGCTGCGAGAGAGAGAGAGACATACTCAAAGCTATTCACCCAGTAACTGGTTGGGCTGGGACTTAACACTGCTGTGTAACTCCATGCCTATGTGAAACTGCCTCTCTATTCTAATACTCTCAAAACAAAATGAGCAAATAAATACTTTTAATTTTGTAGAAATTCTTCTCACATAGAAAAACAGCTAATTCTGGGGATTTGTCTTATACTCTTACCTTCTAATCTCAACTTCCAGAAAGGAAATCAAGACCAGTATTGCATCAGAGTCATTGGCATAATGATTCTGTAAAGATATGTCAACATGGACAATTGAAGAAAGTATAAGAAGCTAGAAGTCGATGAGGGTAAATAAAAAAAAGGAATAGCAGGTGTGTCCGAGATGACTCCTCCTGCAGCTCCCCCAACCCGCCCTCCCCCGCAAAAAAAGGCTTGAAAGAAGAGAAAGAATACTGGTCCAAGAGCAAGACCTGAGTTGTATCCTTTGACCTTCCTTTAACTAACTTAACATAAAGTCAAACCTAAATGACTCAGCCATAGTCTCTTCCAGCTCTAAAACCAATGATCATGATCTCAACTTTCTAAGCCTCAGTTTTGTCTATAAGACGAGGGGGTTAAAGTGATGCACACAATGTCAAATGACTATTTGCGGCATTGCTGGGAGTTTGCAGGTTCTGATAGCTGTAGCCTTGACTACCCCATACCAGATTCATTCTCAAGGCACCAAGAGCTCCAGCTAAACCAGACTGCGTCTCCTTCAAATTCTCAGTAAGGAAGCATCTTTGGGTTAGGCATTAAGCCATTTTGGGGTTGGGGATGGGGCATGGAAGTGGGAGGGAAGGAAGTCAAAGGAGGTCATTGATGCAAGGAGCTGTGGCTCACTATCAGGTCCCAAGGCTCTGTAGGCATGAAGACCAAAGGAATCAGTTCTCATTTTATCTCTGGGGCCGCTGGTCAAGTTCCTAATTTAGACAGAGGGGCAGGGAAGAGACTGAAGAAGCTAGCCTCAGCCTCCCACCTTGTACTCCCAGGCGACATCCTCCATGGGCACGACGCTGTGGGCCTCATGCTCAGAGGACCGGCTGCAGGTCTCACATGTGATCAGGCCATCCTCTTTGCAGAACATCTTTAGCTGTTCTCCATGGAGCTCACACACATCCCCCTTCAGCCGCATTCCTGGGTGCAGGCCTAGCAGACAGACTTTTTCTACCACGTTCGCCAGCTGCCAATTAGGCCTCAGGTTCCCTGGTTGGACAGGAGTCCGGCAGAGGGGACATGTGTAACCCCAGTTCTGGGATTCCCCTGGGACCTCCCAGAGTCCAGCGAGACAGCTGTGGCAGAAGCTGTGGCCACAGTCAATGCTCACGGGCTCCCTCAGGTAGGCCATGCAGATGGGACAGGCCAGTTCTTCCACGACGGCTTCCACCAGCGCTGCCGGATCCATGGCTCCTTTTCACACCCTCCTGGGAACATGAACAAAACCAGGCGGAGGTACTGAAGGCTGAGAAGAAGAAAAGAAAAACAGGTAAGAGGCAAATGTAACAGAGGAGCAAAGGGATCCATAAATGGGAAAATTCATGTGTGGAAGAAAAACAAGTTCCTCCTTTCCATCCTTCCTCGGTCCTTTATTGACCCTGCTTATTAAGCACTGGCCTTCCCAACTGAAGTTCTGACCGGGCCACATTACTCACACCACAGAGGGCCATCAGGGGATGCTGGAGCAAGCAAATGAGGGGAATTCTCACTTTTCATTCATTCAGTCATCTCTGACCCTCCTCTGGGGTCATGAGACCCACCTCAATCATGCTCTCCAAATCAGCATTATTCCTCTTGAACTTGGATAAGGTCACAAAAATCGGATGTTTCAGTACCTAAAATAAGGCCAGAAATATCCCTAGTCTCACTCTGGGGAATGTTTATATGTATACTTATATACTTTAAGGGGCAAAAAGAGGCTATGCCAGAAGCCCATTGCCTACATGCTCAACTGGTTTCTTGCGTTGCACGCTAAAGTGTAAAGTACAAGAGAACCAGCAATCCTTGCCCCACACCCTGTAAACCCCTGCTTCCTTCTCCACACCATTCATGGAGATGCTGACACTTTCCTCACCCCTAGTCTCACCCTGGGGTATGTTTATATGTATACTTACATACTTTAAGGGGCAAAAAAAGGCTATGCCAGAAACCCATTGCCTACATGCTCACTGGTTTCTTGCGTTGCACGCTAAAGTGTAAAGTACAAGAGAACCAGCAATCCTTGCCCCACACCCTGTAAACCCCTGCTTCCTTCTCCACACCATTCATGGAGATGCTGACACTTTCCTCAGCCTTCAGTGATGTTAGAAGGAGAAATACAACAACAGCCCTTGGCACTGTATCCTCAGCACCTAAACAGTACCTGAAATGCAATTATGACTGAATAAACTTTTCTCCAATAAATAAACCAGCTAGACATAGGAAATAATTCCTAAACCCAAAATGCTTTTATAATTTGTTAGAAAATCGAGAGCATATATTAATCCCAATAGCAAGCGCTCCTTGAGCACTTACACTCTCCTGAGCATTTTACGTGGGCTAGCTTAGTTTATTTCACAACCTTAAGGAGAAACCATTATTCTACTGGTCTCATTTTGGTCCTGGGCCCCACCATTCTATCTTGGGCAAATTACTAACCTCTACAGCTTGAAGGTATGATAAAAATTCAAGAGAGAGAGAGAGACATCACTCTGGTTTCGAGTAGGGCGGTAAGTCTTCCTGGAGGTAATGAAGCAGTAAGTAGATTTTGCGGGACTCTCTGTTAAAGGCGAGCAGGTGGTCCGGCCTTCTCAATGGCCTCCCTGTCTCCTGCTCTCCCCCTCCCCCCACTAACACTACCAAACTGTGGGATCTAGTACCCTAAAACCTGTTTTATGAAATCACTAACCCACTGAAGAGCCTATCCTGGCTACCCAGCACCCTGGCCAATAGGAAGCTCTTGTTCTTCATCCTTGAAACTGCACCTGTGTCCAGTCAAGCAAAGAGAGAGAAACTTCCACACTTTCCTATCGACAGATCCTTGCAGACTTTCCTGGTCATTCCACCCCACTTGGGTTCCTGCTATCCTCCCAGCGTGAAATGACTTCTCCATGATCCTGTTCTTCACATCATTGGACATGTATGTGGTTATTGTCTTACTTGCCCACTAGAAGTTTCAAGAGGATAGTGACACCATCAATTTTGTTCACGCCTATATCCCCAAGGCTAAGAACAAAGCCTCCAACATTTTTTTAATACGTAAGAATTAAATGCAACTGTTGAGAACCAGGTGATCCTAGGCTGGAAGTGGGAAAAGTGTCAACATCCCCATCTAAGACAGAGGGGCACCCAGAGCTCCCACAACACAGGTTGAGATCTATGATTGAAAGCTACCAAGATCAACAGAAAAAAAGAGAAAAGAATGGAAAACTGGTGGGAGTAGGGAAGTGAGGGAAAGAAAGAGCAAAATGATAAATCAAGAAATGCGGTGTAAGTATGTTACTTACATTTAGTAGGGCCAAAAAAAAGATTTAAGCTTGAAAAAGTTAAAAGCGGTGGTCTCTGTAAAAAGGATTTAGAGGTATTGCTCTTAGGATGTAAAGCCTGCTTCACTGTTTTCTTTGCTATACATAAATTACTTCGACAGGACTTTATTAAACATTTAATTGCTTCGAAATTGCCTTTGGCAGGGCGGGGAGTCAGTCTGGGGAAGACCTTGGAAGGGAGGGGGCGGAGCTTGGGAAGGCTTTTCAAGGAGGGACCTGAGTGGGGTGAGGGGTGCGTGGAGGCGGCGATCTTCCGGGTTCGAGCAGAGGGGCGGGGGTGGGAAACCCCAGGCCCCGGGCGCGGGGCGGGGCCCCAGGGCAGCGGCAGAATGAGGAGACCTGGCAGGACCCCTGGCTTCAGAAGAGGCACGGCTGTCTCCCCACCTTCCCCCTTAGACCGGACTAGCGCCACGCGGCGACGGCCGAGAGTGGCGCTGCCAGGTTCTCACGGCCGCGTGTCCGCAAGGTCAGAAGCGGCTGGACCGCAGCACTTACCGCCCGCGGGCAGACGGTCCCCGCAGCCGCCGGCTCCTCGGCCTCTCGCCGGCTCTTCGGCCCGTCGCCCGCCCTCAGGCCCCGCCCACAGGGCCGAAGCCAATGAGCGGCGGGCAAGGGCCCGGCGCCGGAATTCGTCCAGCCGCATCTTTGTGGAAGCAGCCAATCACAGTCAGGGACAGGACAACCCTAGCCAATCGGAGGAGGGGACGGGCCTCGGCACGCCTCTGGGCATGCCTGTTTTTTCTCTGCTATCTCGGTTTTTGGGTCCCTTTCCCAGCTCAGAGCCCTTAGCGCTGGGAAAGGGCCGGGGAGGCTGTCGCCGGACGCATCGAAGGTGGGGCTCTCGGAGGCGGGCGCCCAGGCTCGGTGTTAGCGGAGGCCCGGTTGGTTCCCGGTCCCAAGAACCATTGACGGGCCACGCTTCAGCCCTAGCTGACCAGCGGCTCCCCAGTTCCTTCCGGGTGCCGAGGCCTAATGCTGTTCATGTGCCAGTTTCCTGTGTTAAACTCCCCAACATGTGAGATCGGCCATGCTTGGCTCAATGACGCAATCTAGCGCAGGGCTGGGCACGTGGCGGGGCTCTGCCGTTTGCAGCAAGACGAGCGACCTCTCCTGGCTACAGGCGGCGGATCCTGGGTTCTTATTATCCCCTCTCCCCCTCCTGTTTTAGCAGGCACATTTTTCATCGCGATTGCTGCCACACACCTAAAGTTAGAAGCAGAGACTGGGAGCTGGTGGAGTGAAGTGAAATGGATCCCTGGGCACAAACTGTCATTAAAAAAAAATTAAAGTTTTATTAAACAACTGATACCTCTCCCTCACCCAAATAGACACAGACTTATATACAGACATACAGCTTCTAAAGGGAGTGACTTTACAAAGTGTCCCCTTGGATTATTCCAGCACCTACTTGACACCATACATATTTACTACAATACTATTGACTCTT